CTCTCTCTCTCTCTCTCTCTCTCTAAGAATTTGTTCTATAGATTTCAAAGCAGATTCCTGGAGTTTAATGATTTAGTTTTTTTGTTTGTTTGGTTATGGGTTTTTTTTTAATTTATGGGAATTATAAACTATTTATTATATACCCAGAAATTTTTTCAAATAATGAATTATCCTCTTTTAATATCTCTGCACATACTGTACTCACAATGTTTATTTCTTGTGAAATGTTCTTTGATTTAAATCTATTAATACTAAATGCTTTTTTAAAAGTACATTTCTCAACTCTAGCATTTCATACTAAAGATTCAATTTTAACATAAATATATTACTGATCAAGCCATGGAAGTTGAATTAAATTATTCACTGTTTAAAAATAAGAGCTATGCTTATTGTTTGTTTTTACTTGCTATTGCTATTATTGGTAAAATAGCATTTGAGTTGAAAAAGCATATTTAAATAGAATAACTAAGACTGTGCCTTTTTACAGAAAATGTGATTCTTTTTGTTAACTTTGTTTTATTACTTATAGTTAGACTGAGGTTCAAAACTTAACTTTTAGTTCATTTGTTGTTGTATTGAATAATTCAGGGGATGTTCCTTGAAAGGAAAAGAAACCTACTCACACTAGCTAAAATATAAAATGCACATGAGAATATTCTATATTTCCAGATATAAGAAGCCTGTCTAGGCCTGAAGGAGGAATGAAAAGCATTCAGTTGCTGGGCTCTTCCTTTGTGGGTCTTCTGTGCTTCTCTCTCTGTTTAGAGATCAATTTCATCTATAAAGCTTTTGTGTCTGTTTGTATGCTTCTCTAACATGTAGGCACTGTTTAGAAAATTCCCATTACTTTTTAGCATTAATGCCCAGTATGACCTGACTTCAGTTTCTGAAGTTCTTTTTTTTTTTTTCATTAAGTTTTTTTTTTTTTGGTACAGGGATCAAACTCGGGTACTTGAGCTTGCACAGCAGATGCCAAAATTTTTTTCCATTAAGTTTATTGGTACATTTT